TAATAGGTATTATATCAAATGTAAAGATTATTATTTGTTTAAAGGGTTAATAAAGTAATTAGTCTATCCTTTTTTCTCACCTGTTATATTCCACCTATTATGGAAAACCCATCATATATGTTCCCATTTTATCAGAACGGTTATGATTGTCTAATGAAGTATATGATTTATTGAATGTGAAACGATGTCAAACAGTGTGAGATAGCAATAAACAAGACAAACAGGATGCCAAGCCATATTGCCAAATCAGTTCAGTCTGGACCCTCATTAGTCAAGCTCACAGTGCTCTGGTCAGACTCCATACGGAATTTAGTAACTTGCTTTTCTATAGTTCCTTTCACACGGTAACGTGACTCCATACAGTTTTGGTCAAGAAATATAAGGGAGCTGCTCAGACCTTAAAGGCAGTGCAGAGGAACCAATGAAGATGATGTTAGATACATCATGTGGAACAATTAGACAAGTTAGTGCTCTTCAGTCTTGAAAAGAGACGTCTGAGAAGGGACTGTGTAAAGGTGTATTATAAGATTTTAAATGGGATGGGAAAAGTAGATACAGAACAATACTTTCAGATATAGCAGGATAGCAGAATAATGTGACAAGGTAGCAAAAGGCAATTTAGGTAGTTTGGGCAATATGTACATACGACCACCAGGAAGGCGGAAGGTGAACTAGATGGACCTTGTCTTTATTCCGTCTAGCACTTCTTATGTTCTTATGTAATTTCAAAACAGATACCAGGAAGTATTTATTTACTCAGAGGGTAATTACCGACTGTATGGACTTCCAGGAAGAATGGTTGAAGTCAGGATGCTGGACTTTGTTTATTTAAGAAAAAGCTTGATGCTGTAATGGAAGGACGATAGATTGGGAATTCTTGAAAGATAAGATCAAATGGGCCAAAGGAACTTCTTCATTTGAACCAATCTTTGGTCAGTCAGGTGTCTGCCATGTGCAAAAACCCATCACCATGCTTAAGAGGATCCGGATCAAAGTTCTACATTCGTATGTCACCTAAACAGGGAAATTTTCCTGTCTCAGGAATAGAATACAAATTCTCTCCATGGTGGGGTACACTCTGCTTACCAATTCTAGAAAGTATTAAGCACAGGTTGGCAAAAAAGAAGGTTTAAGGACCCCAGAATGTGTGTTGGGATACTGCTAGAGTTGAACCAATTAAAACTACATAGCTTGCCACTGAAAGCAACGTCTGGTAAGATTTCCATTGCTTGTCCAGCTGGGACATCTTACCTGTTAGGGTTTTGACTTGCGGGATGGTTGCTATGTCATTAGTAGTACCCTGGAGTACTGTGGACTACCCAGTTCAGCTTCAAGGAGACCCGTGTACTTCACCCTAGGAGGATAGTAATCAATCTTGCTATCTTGGGAAGATAAAAATGCTCACCTAAAATGCTCAGATTAGGCCATGAATTGGCTAATTTGCTGGTAAAATGCCAGCATACATGTAAAGGGTTTTCTGCTCACCTGTGTTTCTCTTCATTCAACCTCTGTGTAAGATGTAAGTTTCCAGGGTATATCAAGGTGTTGATGTTTCCATCATGTACAACTATACTGTTTAAGCTATTCATTTTAAATGGAATGGGGGGGGGGATTTCTGTTTGTTGAGTTGAAGGATATCAGTACTGAAAAAATAAGCACTTTCATTTTCATTATCTCAGGTCAAGTGTAGCACTGATTAGATGTAGGGTAAAACTACCTCAATAATGTACATTGAGTTGAACCTCAGAGGAATCCCATCTACTGTACCAGTGGGATATACCCAGTTCTTACATCAACCAACCTAATTAACTGTCAAAGAAAAACTGCAAATCTCATGTTAACTATTTCCAACTTAGGAATCATTTTATCTGAGCCCACGATGAACTGAATGATGACTGGAAGGATGGACAGTCATTCCTTCAAGTGGATCAATAGGGAAAAAAAGAGGTCACTCTGGGCAGGAAGATAATAATAATAATAATAATCCTTGCATTTGATATAGCGCTTTTCATGTCTTCTTGATGTCTCAAAGTGCTTCACAGAATATACTGTAAAGTGAATCGACTATATTGTGTGGGCGAAACGCGACAGCCAATTGCACACAAACAGTCGTGGATTGAAATGAACAATTTATTATTGTTTTTTTTCTTGAGGGATTATTATCAGGCGTGTGGAGTAAGGAAACTTGCCCAAGGTTTCGCCCCACCAGGAATCGAACCCAGGTACAAGCTGGGACAATCTTTAAATATATGAAGGTAAATGTGGAGGGAGGTGAAATCAGATCAGATTCTAACACTCACCATTCATCAGCCCTCAATCTTTTTGAATCAAAGTGTGGTTTACAGGAGCATTTAACGATTCAGGTTTGGGGGACTGAGCAGTGTAGTGAATTGGAGATCTGATGTTTTGAGTTACAGAAGGATAAGTGATAGGCTCAAGCCTATGACTCTCCAAGTGCCCAATCCTTTCCAGAATCCACCAGTGCACTGAGCAGAAGCCATAGTAAAGAAAAGGAAGAAAGGATTAATCATCTTAGGCCATGCCTCACATCTTATTGCTGGCAGTAGAGAGGTACCGGCAGGGACCTCTTGGCTCAGAAAGGTGTACAGTACTGGGAAACTTTACAAAGGGAAAACGTGATCAAATCAATTATTAAAAACAAACAAATAAATCAAGTTGAACTCACATTGGAGAGCACAAGGCTCATGAGAAGTTCTGAATTGAATCTCTTTGTAAAATATCATAAGATGAGTGCCCAGCAGACCTTTTATATGGCTGTATAGAAAGCTTTTGCATACACTCTGATCAAACTGGGCTTCAGTCCAGGTTCTACCAGAATACCCAAATAGTCGAGAATCACAAGGATCCTACACAGCACGGGATCCTGTCCATGATCTTGGCACCAGATGGCAAACCTTTTCCACTTACTGTTATAAACAGACTGTGTGGAAGATTTCCTTGCAGCTATGATGATCTCTATCACCTCTTTTCATAAGCCCTGTTCAACAGCCAAGCCAGCAGCTGGAGGCTGGATGTTTTTTGGTGCCAGACTCTCTGAGAGAAAAGGCGCCTCATGTTGAGAAGGGAAAGTGACGGTCTCTCTGTGAATAAGACCAGAAAGTCTGAGAGATATGGCTGTCAAAGCCACCTGGAGGCTATAAGGTTTATTCCATGCCCTAGTCCTTCCAATTTCCTGAACAAGTGGAATCTGGGATAGTGGGGCAAGATCATATTGGTACAGCTGCTCATCCACTGATTGTGTACGATTCTGAAATAATACATGGCGTGGGGGTATGGGGGGAAGAGAAAGATACAGTCAAATATTTGCATAGTTATTACATCCTTAATCTCCCTGTATGATTGCCTGGTCTGGGACTAAGTGGGTTAAGTTAATGACCTTGGCACAATGCACACTGATGCCCATATTAAGCAAATTACAGACCGGCAGAATTTCACCCCTTAAGATCTATTAATAATTAATTAATAATAATAATCCTTGCATTTGATATAGCAACTTTCACTTCAAGAGGACGTCACAAAGTGCTTCATAGGATATACTATAAAGCGGAGTGACTGTGTATTTTGTGGATGAACAAGGTAGCTGAGTCAGTATCTCAGCTCAAGTTGTGGTCTGAAATTCTTTGGTTAAATATACTTAACAGGAAAGGGGCCAGCTGGGACCACCCAACATAGTGGCCTTTGGCTTTCAGGTTATAAGAGCTGATTGGAAGAATCCCTGCCCCAAGTGACTGATCTGCCCCTCAAATTCCTGTTATCAACAGTGGCTCAGAGGATTCACATACCTCATGGCTGCACTAAACTTGGAAACTACAGAGGTAGCAGACAGACTTCTTGATTCAGACATTCCATTGCCAAGGACATTATTTGATAATTACAGAAAATTATTTGAAGTGGTAAATAATTATTTGGGGAGGACAAGTATGTAGGGCTATAGGGAGAGAGCGGGGGAATGGGATTGAATTGGATAGCTCTTTTCAAAGAGCCGGCACAGACACGATGGGCCAAATGGCCTCCTTCTGTGCTGTAAAATTCTATGATTCTATGATTTAGTTCAGGCCCAAAGGGGCGCCACTTAGCTCCCCTTCCCGTGGAGCATAATTCCCATTGTTGAAAGTGTCTTTTTCAAATATCACATTTGACCACTAAGTGAAAAATCTGAGGAAGTGTAATTTTAATGTACATTCACATGTGCTGCCATTGGAATGAGTAAAGAACCTGTAAAAAGGCAGGACTATTATAACAACAGCATGCACTGATGTACAGAAGGGCCTTCCACATAGGATGAATGTCTTGAAACATTACACAGGGATGAAAGAGAGAACTAAGCAAGGAAGGAAAGAAGGAACATTTATGATGTTGATCAAAAGCACAGTCAATAAATTCAATTGAAGAGGATTCTTGGAGCGAAACTAGATGAGGGGATTTGGGGCAGAGTTCTTAAGAGTGGAGCTTAGTAGAAACCTTAGCAACTACTGATGGAATAGAAGAAGTGAGGAATGAGCACCTCCAGCAAATATAGACACACATCATACTGTCCAACGCTTTGAGACATCCTCCCAACGTGAAAGGCGCTCTATAAATGTAATTTTGTTGTTGTTGTTATACTGTTCTGTTTCAATTTTCAGGTTTCTATAAATTAAAATTACTAATGTCCTAAGGAAACCGCACTGAGATTGTCAGTGGATACCAGCATATTTCTCCTGTAATACTTTCTCTTCAACCATGCCTTCACCTCCCCTCTCGACTATCTACCCGCTCCTCGCTCCCTCCCTTCCCTCCCCTCACCCTGACCATTTCCCCCCTGCTCGGGTCCTGACCCAACTGTCCAGCGCCTTGGGACGTCCTCCCGACGTGAAAGGCACTCTATAAATACAATCTTGTTGTTGTTGTAGTGCTTTTGAATGACTGGATTGTTCCACAGAAATGTTCATAACATGGACTTATTGATGGCAATTAATAGAATCAGAAGTAACTCCTACCTGTTTTTTCCTGCAACTTGTTCAAGTTTCCAGTTTAAAGTTCGACACTCTGCTTTCAGCTTGTTTATGAGTGTATTCTGGGAACTAAGGAGCGTGTCCAGGTCTGTAACTAAAATAGAAGCAAAGGTTATAGAGTGTTAATTGTTTGTTGTGCATCAATTAGATCATGTGGTTATAACCTCTGTGGTTATTTTGCATTTTTTACTTTATGCATTTCTATTCACTTTTACTTTTACTCCAGTAAAATGCTTGGGGAGCGCTTCATTGTTGGAAGTGTCACCCATCAGATGAGTTGTTAAACTGAGGTCCTGTCTGTTCGTTCAAGTGGAGATTAAAGATTTCATAATAATAATCTAAAAGAGAAGAGAGTTTTTACCAATTTCCTGGTCAACAATTCTTCATATAAAATTGGTTGTTCACTTCGTGTCTGTTTGGGGACATTGCTGTGGGCAAATCTATCGCCGAGTTTGCCCATAAATCAGTCAATCTACAGTAAATCCTGTGAAGCGCTTTGAGATATTTTGATAAAGTCATTATGCACTGTAGCAAATCCAAGGATTATTATTATTTACTCTCTACCAGCTAGAAGCACCAAGGGAGTTTGGAATAAAGACAAGATTTGACAAGTTTGGTGTTATTGAGGCACTTTTGTTTGAGACAACGGAATCTATATAATGCTGATTGCTATAGGCAGCTCTTTTCAGAAAGTCTTAAAGATGGAAAATCCCATTGTTACGTTGTAACAAAAAGATCTCTGTTGTTATCTTACAGTTATAGGATGGACCCCAAAATAAATAAATTTTCTCTGCCCAGTACACAGGCAGTACTGCCACCTGTTCTTGTTTTCCATGTAGCTCCCTTACCTGGAGTTCTGTGCATTCTGAAATACTGTTTTGTTTTGTACAAACTCATGGATATTTGAGGTAAACTCATTTGATGAGGCTATTCGAGTCTGAATATTTAATTGAGGTTTAGATTGAAACTTGTCCCTCCAGCTGGGATTTCAACACTACCAACAGCTGTGCTAAGTCACTGCATTTAAAATACCACAGGACATATAGAATTTAGTTTCACTAGTGTGCAAGTGCTTAGCAACTAATTGATTACAGTGGATGGTACCAGAGGTTCACATCTCTGTGGTTTACTGGGTGTGAGATTTGTTCACATTCAGTAAATCTTTGGTTCTTGAATCATGCTCCTACCCCAGAATACAACAGGGAGAAAAAACAAACAGAATTGGCTTACATTTGGACCTATAAATAATTATAACTTAAAATATTCTAATTTATGCAACATTAGTTCAATAATATTGTGAATATTTTGAAATGCATTTTGCTTTCCTATAGGATGTGGTACAAAATATCACCGAAACAGACAAAATAATACCTTTAGAACAGAATCTAAAAAAATATTTTCTTATGAAGTAGTTTTGTTATAACCTGACAGTTCTGCTGCTTAATGGGTTATCCTTGATGTGGATGCTGCTCATTTAAGTTAGGCATGCGTAAATGACCTATATTGATAAGATTAGTACTATATGTATACTAAAATGGGTCAAGTAAAATTATCTTAAGATTAACAAAATAAAGGTCAATGTTCTTACCTATATAAAATATATTCTACACTTGTATGAATCCTCAAGCCATACACACATTTGCATGATACAGTATCATGTTCATATTGCAGCAAGTTTGTCTACTTAAATGTGTAATTAGATCTGTGCATAAAAATACAGTGTTCAAAGCATTAACATATTCAGCACTCCAATAAAATACAGTGCTAATGTCTGTAGGAGCAGTTTCTTGTTAAGAGAACTAGACAAAGAGGATTCAGTTTTTATGGGCTCAATATATTTGAATGTGGGTCATGCATAAATCATTCAAACTAATGACTATGGTATACAAATAGGTTAGGCACATTTAATTTGTCAAGTAAAAAAAGAAACTTTCTAAGAAGCTCCTTCTAAATATTATTCAGCGCCTTGGGACGTCCTCCCGACGTGAAAGGCGCTCTATAAATGGAATCTTGTTGTTGTTGCTGTTGTTATTCTCAGAATAATAAAGTAAATAAAGTGATGTACGGGAATATAAAAAATGACACTTTGTAATAGTGGTACTCGTATAAAATCCAGAATTTAAATGCTTAATTTTGGAACTCTGTGTCAGTATAGATCAGAAATAAACAACAATGTAATAATAATAATATGATTCTTGCATTTGATATAGTGCCTTAGCACATCTTTGAGACGTCTCAAAGCTCTTCACAGAATATGCTGTGAAGTGAATTGTCTATATTTTGTGGGCGACGCGGCAGCACACAACAGTGTTTCACAAACAGTCGTGGATTGAGTGACCACATTTTTTATTTTTTTAAAAAAAAACCTTTGTTTAAGGGATTATTACCCCCGGGAAAACGATCCGCCGATCAACTAACAATTTATGTACATTTATATAGTTCCATTTCTGTAAGTAACACTTCAAAACATTACCAATAGCTAATGGCTGATATCAACCAAAGATGCAAAAAATAAAATTCCTTAACAAACCAGCAAAAACATCTATATTCAGGCTCTTATATTTTAAAATCTCAAAAAGTGGAATGCTGATCTCTACAGTATTCACATGGACACGTTTAGTTGTGAAACACAGGTGGAAATGAATTCACACCATCTCAAATGGAAACATTTTAGTCAGAAATACATTCCTAATACTGTACACAAAGTGGCAATCTTTTCATTTTAATGTTTTAATATGCACATCATTTGCAACAATGTGTTCTCTCATTCTATGGGTTAACAAATGTTTTAAAAAGCTCACAGAATGGGAAGTGAACCAGACTGAAACACTTGAATTAAGACTGTTGAAAATCTCTCAGATCCTTCAACTTCAACCATTAGTGAAAAATGTGACACACTGAGTACTGAATACAGTTGTCTTTCACTGTAATATGGATTGTAATTAGGTTCACATCATAACGGAGACCCAGCATTTACCAGCTTTCACTGCATTGAAAAAATACATAAAAGATAAAAACATAGTATATTTCTGCATAATATTGAAAGTTATTAATTCTAATGTAGAACACTGATGCCTTGAAGAGCATAAATTGGGTCCCTAGTTAAATGGTTATACGCTAAGCTAATTTAGAATTTCGCCACATATATTCATGCAGCAAATGTATTCCCATCATCTGTGTAGTCTAAAGTAATGGTATTTGGCACTTACATTTTCCCTGCGTTGCACTGTTCTCCTATAGCCTGTGTGATATTCACCAGATGATGAGATTCAGTTGCTCTAAGATCTGGTTCTTACAGTATCTCTTTTTTACCCCATCCAACTCTTTTTTTTGCCACAAATTTATTTTTAAACCTCGAACAAATTTCAGTCAACAATAACTTTCTGTTTGATCAGCTTTTTCTTTTAAAAATTAAAAACGTATTTCACATCTGTGTGACAGCTTGTGAAGTATATACACAAACTAGAAAGATGAACTCAGGATGAATGCAAACTAATTAACAGAAATTCACAGGGCAATAGAAAAGCAACTTTCTTTTCTAAGCTCCCAATGATCATATTTGGGTGTCATGATCAAGATATTATGTAGCACAAATCTAACCAATACAAAAGTTACAAGTTTTTTTAACAATATAACCATTTTGGAAAACAAAGCCCTCAAAATCTGGGAACCATAAATATAATTTCAGCCTTCAACTTTGTAAACAATTTACTAAAATAGTGCAACATCGATACACTATTTGATTTCAACATTATGAAGTGTATTATTTAAATTGTTTACCAATGTGGATATTAAAAGTATCTGTATTTAACTTTCTGAGTTCTGAGGGAGTTAATTCAATATCTAGGAAGATGTTTGCTGGTTACCTTTTCAGTGTCAGAATTGACACAGTTACAATCTATGATGTGATCAACTTAGGCACGAGAATCTCGATTGATAATCAGTTGTAAAACTGCCTGCTTAAAAATATTCTTAGTCCTCAGTGCTTTTATTTAAAAATAATGTTGCTCCTACCTCCAAGTAGGAGAGTAGAATGAAGGAAGAATAGGGCAATACAAGCTTAGGTAGAGTTAAAAAAGTTCAGTAGGGAAAAATAACATTGAACATTACAAATCTAAGATAGAGAGTAACGACCAGGGGAGAAAAAAAGACTCTGAAAGAGCACACACAACATGCTAAAAAAGAGTAACATGCATTTATTTTAATAGTTTAGGATTCACATTATTGCCATAAAGCTATTCCTGATTTTTCGTGGCTTACTTGGAGTGTTACAATTGTATTGATAAACGCTCAGGGAGATATAAAGAAAGGATTTGCATTTGCTATAGCACTTCATAATATTGAATCATCCCAAAATGCTTCTACATAATCACAGTTAAGTGTAGTTACTGTTGTTGGTCAACCTGCAGTCATCTGGGCTAGCACGTTCCCACAAGCAGCCACAAATTTTGTGGAAAACTAACCTGGAGAATTGTGGGTTTTCCCATATTTGTCAACAGTTTTAGAGCTAGTTAATCTTTAATGATTAAACAGTATTTATAGGATTATTTATTGTAATCACTTACTAGGATATAAATATAATATAATATATATCCATATATAAATGATGAGCCTAGAAAAAACTATTCTCTATCTTAATTTTGCAGTCCACCTGGCCAGTCAGAAAGTATAAATCTCACTGACATGCTGTCGAATGTGGAATTTATTCATGTAGAAATATTTCTAGGAAATAACCCTGCCCCACAAATTTTGCAAGGTTCACATTCACACATTTGGCCACTGGGAGGCATGCAGGAGTGATGGGGGCTGGGGTGCCAACGAGAAGAAATGTATTGTCAAATTTTGTCTCCCTGTCCTTTGATCTCTCCACAGCAATACAGCTCAGCTTAGATACTCAAAGGAATGAAAAGATGAACTGGTGCCCTTTCTCACCAATGTATTACACACTCATACTCTGAAATGTGCCTGGTATACTAGATATCTTATTTTCCTTGCACTATTAAAAAAAAGGCATTTAAATGGAAGTGAATTTTAAAAAGAAAATAGAAAAATAATACTCAGAAAATAAAATGAGACAACGGACAAAGTAAAGCTGAAAATCAAAACATTAATGTACTAACTTGTAAATTTGAATTTTCTAAAGATATTATAAGTCAGGTCACTGCAGCCAATTAGAACAATGATCATAATGGCAACAGAATGTTATTGAAGAGCATGTAGTGCAAATTCCCTTTATTTATATACAAGAATACTGCTCATCTAACCTTAGCAACATTGAAATGCTGTAAAAGAATAAATCACATTGTCTGTATTGTAATAGGGTAGAGGAGTAGGAGAAAGAGGATCTGTTCCCATCGTTATACATGGAATTACAGTTGACTTGAAGTGATGAATCTATAACAACCCTAGAAATTCTGATTCCTCTATAAACCAGGACAATGAATCTCACAGTTTGCAGCCATTATGTGATCCCTAGATTACATTACAGCCTTATAATCAATTATCATAGATCATTTTTAAACACTATATAAATAAAATGAAAATAATACCAATGCTATTTACCCATAGAACTGAAATATAAGACTATGGTACGTAAAACACAGTACTCCCAAATCAGATTTGCTGCGTTAATTGTGATTTCTGGTTTGTGAATATTGGATTATGAAATTCATGGCGGGTGAATTGCAATCTTAAAACAGCACAAAAAATACATTTACATTTTACTGGCTGGCATTATATGGTATGCAATTCACGATCACTGACCATAAACTTTGCAAGCTGATATTTTCAAACCAACAATTTTAAACCAAAAAAGGTAATCAACATAAATTCAGTTTGCAAATATTTCATTAAAATTATAATAACACTTACATTTGATATATCGTGTTGTCAAAACATTTCAAAGCGCTTCACTGTGGAATGCAATAACTCAGTGATTAGTAGGTGAATTCAGCAGCCACAAAGTAAATGCCAAATTTTATATGGGAGAATTGTTGACCAGGTCACTGGGAGAAACTCCCTTCTCTCTTTGAATAGTACCGTGGGATCTTTAACAATCACCTGAACAGGCAAATGGGACTTCGGTTTAACACATCATCTGAAGGATGGAACCTCTAACAATGCAGCACTCCTCCAGCACTAACCTGGAGCACCAACCTAAATTGAGAACTAAAAGTACCAATGTAGAGCTTGAATCAACAACCTTCTGACTGAGGTGAGAGTTTCACCAACTGCGCAAGGTTCACACCTAAGAAGAAAGGTATATTATCAAATCAGTTGAGTTCAGATCCCCAGAATTCACGCTCAAGTGTAGTGTTCTACCTCGGCAGCACCTGGAGTACAGTGGTCGCTCTCATGGGAAAGAATGGTCTGTCAAGTCTGAAAAAGATGGGCTTGTCCATAAAGTCAGGATTTTCACCTCCATGTCAATAGCATATTCTCACAACTCTTTCTTGTATAATTTGAACCTGGTGGTAAGTTTCAACACTGGATAGAGAAAAATAATAATATACAAATATCGGTGATGTCTTGGCATTTTTACTAAGAGTGAAGCTACTCTTTCTTGTACCAGGGCAACATCACAGAACATTCTCTGGAAACAGAATTTCTCACTTGTCAGTACAAGAGAATTAAAGGCCTCTGCAATGCTGGAGGCATTCTTTCAGGGCTACATATGGTGTCGCTGCTTGAGAGAGAAAATAAATCATAAGATGAATGCACTCTATGTGAGTCAACCTCTACCTGAGGAGTCATCAGTAGTAGTGCTCAAATTATATCCACAAGATGTTGTACATTTTAACAATATTTATGCTCCCTATTAGAAAGTACTTCACTTTTCCATTCTCCCAACGGTACTACAGTACTGGAGTTTTGAAATGCAGAGCATTACATTATCATTCAGCGTGGAAGCCTGTGGATACTTCAGTTACCCTTTGTAGAGAAATAACGCAGGCGGCTTTCAGACACTGCAAATGATGACTGAAATAAAATATAAAGGTGGGAAGAATATAGAATGGGATAAGCAGACCTTTTCCAGCGCTTGGATTTATATTATCTAATGGCTCGGGCACATTAGGTGACGACTAAAACCTGAAGATTAATTCCAAATCCAGAAGTATTTGAAGTCATCAGGCAGCAAAAGTAGTTATTTAAAATCTGTGTGACAACAGCAAGATGGCATTCAAAGAGTTTTAACCATAAGCTGGCAGCATTTCCCGCTGAGCTTCTGATGCGATTTTTCTCATATAACATGTGTGCCCTAAAATCCAGCCAAGAGAAGCCCCTTTGTTCTTTACTTTGTGCTGGCAACACTCTGCTTTAAGTTTCTTAACACAGGTAAATAAACTCATAATCCAGATGGTGCAACAGATGTGAGACCAGCATTCTGAAATCAACAGACAGTGGGCAACGGTTTTCATTTCCCTTTTAAACGCTAACTGATATGTAATTCGGAATCTCCGGTGAAGTTAGCAGCTGCTCCCTTTGGCCAGCCAAAGGTTACAGGTGTTCCTGATGTCATTTCACAGTGAGGTGTGGGCTCGGCCTGCGAGAGAGGTGTCCTGGCTCTAATCTATGCCGACCACCTACCGGTTTTGTCATGCTGGGCCTCCATTTGCTGCATCTTTTCTGTTAGCTCCCGCTCTCGATGTTGAGCTTGAAAGGCCAGGGCCTTGATATCATCACTGTGGCTGCGGAAAAAGCTGTCCTTTTCCAGCCTGAGAAAGACAACAAGGTCAAAAGTATAAGTCATGGAAAAATAACGATGGCAATTAATCAGATGAAGATATCAAAGATTACAATCGTATATCAGATACTTTTAAACGGTATGGCATTAATTCCAGGTTTATGATCACCACCATTTGAATAAAAAAATTATTTCAAAGAGAAAATAGCACATTTTTTAAATGAAATGCCTGCATCTTGTAATTGATTAACCATTGTGACCAACCTCAATATAATCCTAGTATGTTTTCAGAAGGAACTCACTAAATGTTACAGTTCACACACCATTATTGACAATATCCGAGGGTAACTGAAATAAACGATTGGCCCCAAGATTTATGCAAGCAATTCAGAGAATAATCCCAAGGACATTTTTTCCGGGGTGGGGGGGGGGGGGGGGGGGGAGAGGGGGTGCTCTGTATACCACAAACAGTTCTAAAAACGAAAGTGAACAGACAGGAGTGTGCTGTTTGAATCATCAAGCTCATCAATTCATTGTTAATACATTGATGAGCTTGACGGGTCAAATAGCACAATCCTGTTCTTAAATTCCTAATACATCTTTTCCTTTCCTGTCCGGTTTGAAGCAGCAACACACTAATACTCCTTCAATTGATCCATTTTCATAATCAAAGGACAATTAATGCCGTCATATACTCTGCAATGCTAACCACCCCTAAACACTGTAATTATCTTGCACCACAAAAGGATAAAAGACTCCCTATACTGAAGTGAATAGCCACGATAATTACATATACATTTTTTATAAAAATTGAAATTAATATCCTACACAAAATGCAAATGTATTTAGAAATAGGTTCCTGTTGATTAAGACGATTATTTTACTTTCTCACTTAAGAATTATACAAATTCCTTCTTTCATGGAATAAGCATTGCATTCAATAGCTTCCAACACCATGCATTAATGAACACAAATGGAAACTACAGCAAGTAGAATAGATTCAAACTATAACTTATTATTATAATTATTTTATTTTTGTTGATTTGGCTGCATCTTATACATTGCACCTTAATCATCTGTTTTTTTTATACCATCGCACAAACAACATTAATCCAACTAAACCTACTATATATTTCTGTCATACTAAGCTCTCAACACCCCCTCCCCCCGGGTGGCTTTGGTTGTTGTGATATTTACCCTCCTCTGTGCATATATTTATCCATCTATTCCATAGCCTTTCCTTCTTTCCCTTCCTCTAACTAAACTGGCTCTGGCTCCCTCCATCTGGTTCCCCTTCCGTCAGCAGTCCCGCACCTGTTCACACCTCCTCTCCTGTTGGATTCCACTAAAGATTTCCTCCTCTGCCAGGGCTATTCTGGCACACAGAATCTTTTTGTCATTCAATCCATCTGTCAGAAGTGAACTTTGTTTACCATGAGCTACTTCTTCTTTCTTGCAGTAGTGCAGATCCTCAAGGTCACTATAAGATGCCCTGTCGTTAATTGATTTGCATTACCTACTGTCAACTTTGAGAAGCTAGTGTGACGATTTGCAAACTAACTTAACAACATAAATTATTTGAAGAAATGGTGCCATTTAACATGTACAACAGGGCGATGATTTCTTTCGTTTACAAGGGAGACTTTGTTATATTAATCACAATTAAAACAGTTTTCAGATGTATAGCACTATTCTGCGAGGAACAAAAGTGATTCAACACTCAAAAGGTTACAGTAAATAGACTGAAGAGTGTTTATTTCCCAGTCCTGTACCCACTTGGAAAAATTATTGCATTGTCATTGTAGCAGGAATATCAGTATTTTAGCCAAATGTTGCAATTGCAACAGAGATGCTATCTTGTCTCCTATTAAAGATACAAATGGTAGATTAGTTACAGCACATATTAGGGTTTGATTTACAGGTTGAGTTGACCATGTGCAAATGCATACAAATTCTTTTAATTATGTAATTAACAATCAATGTTAAGGACTCCACGTGATTCTGTCATGATATCCATGCATATATGGAATTAATTGCCCAAATCCATATCACATGAGTTTAAGTCCCAAGGCTGCATCCAATCATTCAGGGCTAGATACAAACATACAGATGAAAGGACAGTTGGCTATCTGTACATGTGTGACTTATGAGCCGTTTTTAACTCTCAAAAACAGCATTTACAAGTTTTGTTGCGACTATGTAGGCTTGGCATTTCATGAGGAGTGATTTACTGGACACCACCATATTGTGGACTACTAGTTCACCTGGTAGAATCAGTGGACATGGCCTGCGATTGAAGAGGAGTAAATTCAAATAAAATCTGCGGAAACACTATTTCAGTGAGCAAGTAGTAAATGTATGGAACAGAATCCCTAGGAAGACAGTGGAAGCAGGAAGTGTTGATTGTTTCAAAAATTAAATTAGATAGATTCATTTTGGGAAACAATATCTCAGGATACAGTTTATAGCTTGGGACATGACATGTTCATGTGACTGCCAGGATGGTGGAAGGCGAACTGGATGGACCTTGGTCTTCTTTTGTCCAGCAATTATTATGTTCTAATGTTCTGACAGCAAGAGAGCATTGAAAGCAGATCTGCAAAAGTCCTCTAGAGAGACTATAAGCGTAGCTCCAAATGGGTTTTATATGCAGTGAAGTTACATTGAAATATCTTTTGCATAAAAACAGTTAGCTACTCCTAAAAACAATGTCTACTAACCATTTACATAGAAAATTGTTTGTAGCATGCAGAAAATCCCATCACAAGGATGTGCTATCACAACATATATTTTATATTTGAGAATTAATATATATATTTCCTTTCTGTAAAAGCTTTAACTTAAAAAAATTCCAATAAATTCAGATCAATTGTGCAGGTTTAGTATTTACAGAAATAATTTTTCCTTCAGGACAAAGAATCAGTTTTGTTCATTGCCTCTCGGTGCAATAAACCCCTCTCCTTCCCCCACCACATACATACACCTCTTATTATATTGTACTTTGATTGGTATCTATGCAACAACATCCTAAAAAAGACACAATTGATATTTTTATTAAATGTGGAAATAATTTTTTGCATTTCACATGTTTTAGCTAGTTTTTGTAAAATTAATTAAATACACTAAAGCGTTTTGCTATGGAAACATGTTCCTACAAATGTGTGAATACTCAAAGGGTTAGCTCAGTAATTAACGATAGCTGGTGATTTTAAGTTGTATACAGGAACAACTGAATGGCAGACATTTTCTATATGCAGTTTGAATTGAAAGTAAAGATCAGAAAAGACAAGACAAGGTCTTAGTCAAGGCCACTAGGCGCACCACTGTAAACATCACAGTATTTCACAGTCACCCAGCAGATCCCATCTCTGTGGTCAGTCCTCCCAGCTGCCCTATCTGTTACTGTCTGATTAGTTCTGCTAAGTAGCCCCTCCCCTGCCATCTTTCTCTGCCATCTGTTATAGACAACATGGCTATTGCCCAGCAATGCATGCTGCCCTCCTACCTGGCATCCAGCTACTTGCCTTACCCCAAAGAGCTAACACAGGTTCTCGCTGCTGGCATAATCAGGATTTCATTACTACTACTTTGACAAGAGCAGGGTTGCTTGTAATTTCTCTTTTATCCCCGTTCTGATTGTACAACTACCTCCCACTGACTATGTTTGCTGCAGTTTTGTTGCACACAGATTTTACTCTCCACATTAATCTCCCTCTGGCATATTACTGCATCTGTTCACTTTTTATTAATTTTCAAATTCCCACCCTTTCTCAGCAAAGGAGTTGCGCTTCATTCTGTTTCCACAATTAGATTATTACAACTTACAAGGAACTATTCTTTCCATAGCTTATATGAAAAGTTTTTTTTTAGTAACTTGCTTAACAAATTGAACAACAAATTGAAATTACAGCATAATTTTTTTAAAAACTCTTTAAAAAATTGTTTTTACTGGAATCAAACACTTCAAACGTATGCAACAATCTATTATGTAAAAAATGCTTAAATATATTTATAATCAATTCAGCTAAATAGCCTGGCAATAATCTTAGCACATTGTTGAGAAACAGAAACATATTTTTGTGCATTTTAAATATGCAGTAATTGTGAAGTATAGCAATTTGTTTCATAAAAATTAAATGTGCAAATATTTTACTAAATATTTTACATTAATTACAGTTTAAGTAGGCTGACAAAGGTGAAAACATCTGTAATATAAACTGCTTGTGAAATTACCAGTCATTTTTAAGCTTTTTAAAATTTCTCAGTCACTTACAACATTTCTAACTTTGTTGTTCTACCCTGAATCCTACCCATTCACTTTTTCATTTGGGGACAGGAGTAGTCCACAAATTCACCAATGAATTTCTGATATTCAGAATGAAAGAAGTCATTCACCACCTGGATGTTTGTGGGATGCAGCAGTGAGCAAATAGGCTGCTGTGTTTGTTTGCAAAATACACAATCACTGTACTTTCTAGTAAATAACTGTTAAGTGCGATATGAAGTGGAAAAATTATTTTTATTCAGTGAGTAACACAGGATTTATTTTGTATTAGGTACAGCATGCCATTCATTATCTTTGCACAAATGTTTTCCATCTGTACTTACATTTTTTCATGAGCTCAATTCCGAAGTAAAGGTGGAGACTGGAATTGATCTTATTAGAGAGGAACATCTATATGGCATTACGAGGGTCCTTACTAATTAAGCCAGAATGGTTTAAATCTCCGTATGAGCCCATGATTTTTGCCACAGTCATTCAGTTTGTTTTGACTTAAAATATCTAAAGCTAGCCCTTGACACATCTCTTGCAGCTATTCCAGTTTTGCAGAAGTCTTATGCGATGCTGAAAATCAATCACCTTCATGTCCAGAGCGAGGGATATCAGATGGTGGACCAAGAGGAAGAACTTAATATTTTAGTGCTGAAAGGGATCTCTGTAAAGCATTCCCACGGGAAATGTACAAGGCTGTAAAAATACATACTAATGTTATTAGTTGTACTAAATGTTGGTAAGCCTTAGTGGAAGGT